AAATCAAATAAATTGAGGTCTCATATTTATTAGATGCTTTTGAAAAGAGAATAACTAAGGTAGTCACTTTAAAACCATTTGGCTCATACCTTTGCATGTAGTGGCTTCTGATGTTCTTGATCTGTGAGTTGTATTATTTTAAAACTCCAGAAGAGGGGTCTGCATGGGTAATGTTGTACTATAATAATTAATACTATAAGCTATCCTTTATAAAGTTTTTAATTTGTATCTGGCACTGTGCAAGAATATATGTAATTTTTCGTCCCTTCAAGATACTTCCAAAGATTCACATTTTACACATAATGAAACAGATTCTGAGAAGTGAATGAGCTTGCTTAATGTTACCAATAGTAAATTACAGAAGCCTATCTTACACTTGACCCTTTTTCTTGCTCCTTGACCATATTTCTCTACTTTAGGATGTCTTTTGTATATTCTGTAATCATTAAATTGATTAGCATTGATAATACTGAGGTTCCAGGATACTTGTCTTAGGTGTTATTTCCAAGCTCTCATTTAAATATTAAGTAAATACCAATAAAAGTGCAAAGTCACTATGTAATTGACTTAACCATGGAAACTTAGAAATCATTGTAGGGTAAGAGTCACATTTTCATGGACTTAAATATCATTGACTAACACACATCTGATTTATATAGAATGATTACTTTTCTTGAATTTTTTTAATATTATGATATTTTTAAAATAACCGTAGCGTGCTTGTTATCACATCTTTGGAATGTTCTCAGTTTGAAGTTTGTCCTCAGTAGAACTAGGAGGATGCCTTGTGCTCTTATTGGGCTATTATCTTTTTAATGTTGACTTGTAAGAGTTCTTTATATGTTCTGGATATTAGACCATTATTAGATACATGATTGGCAAGTATTTTCTCCCATTCAGTGTATTATCTTTTCACTTCCTTGTTTTAGTGTTTTTTGAAGGATAAAAGTTTTTAATTTGGGGGAGTTGGTGAGAAATTGGTTAACAGACACAAACAATGCTTTCATTTTGTGGTGGTGAATCTGCTAATTACCCTGATTTGATCATCACACATTGTACAAAGGTATTGATATTCAACTCTGCACCCCACAAACATGAATAATCAATTGTTTCAATAAAATTTTTTGCTTAATTTTTTTAAAAAAATTTAATTTTAATGAAGTACACTTATTTATATTTCATCTGTGCTTTTGCTGGCATATCTAAGAAATCAATGACTGAGGATTATGAAGATTTACACCTGTGTTTTCTTCTGAGAGTTTTATAATTTTGCTCATATACTTATGATATGTATATGATGCATTTTATATTAATCTTGTATATGGTATGAGGTAGGGGTCCAACTTAACTCTTTTGCATGTGGAAATCCAGTTGTTCCAACACTATTGAAAAGACTATTCTGTCCCCCACTGAATTGTCATGGTAACTTTGTTGAAAATTAATTGACTTTAAATGTAAGGGTTTATATCTAACTCTCAATGTTATTTTGTTAATCTGTATGTCTCTGCCAGTGTCACACTGTTTTGATTACTGTAGCTTTGTAGTAAACTTCGAAATTGGAAAAATATACTGTCTATCCTGGAGAGAATGTTCCATGTACTATTGAGAAGAATGTGTAATCTTCTCTTATTGGGTGGAGGGTTCTATAGAAGTCTGTAAGGTGTAATTGATTTGTATTGTTGTTCATAAGATGTACAGGTTGAGCATCCCTAATCTGAAAGTTAGAAATCAGAAATACTAGAAAATTAGAAACTTTTTGAGTGCTGACATAACATTCAAAGGAAATGCTCATTTATGCATTTTAGATTTTGGATTTTGGGGTTAAATATGCTCAATTGGTATGTGCTCTGCAGATATTTCAAAATCTGAAAAAGTCCGATATCCAAAACACTTCTGGTCCCAAGTATTTTGGATAAGGATTTCTCTACCTTTATTTATTTATTTATTACCTTCTTTCTAGGTATTCTACTTATTATTGAAAATGTGGTATTGACGTACCCTACTATTATTGATGAATTGTCTATTTCTCTCTTATTTCCATTAGTTTTTGCTTTATATATTTTGAAGCTCTGTTATTACATATGTTCATATATATGCATACATGCTTATAAATATTTTATCTTCTTGGAAGATCAATATTCTTACCACTTTTTTAAAATGTCTTTTTTCTCTTGTAAAAATTGTTGCCTTAAAGTCTATTATTAGTATTATAGTCACTCTTGCTTTCTTTTGCTACTTCTCCATGGTATATATTCTTCCCCACCCCCCTTTTTTTTTTGTTCATCCTGTTTTTGTCTTTGAATCTCAAGTGTGTCTTTTGTAGACAGCATTGGTTGGATTATTTTTTATTCTGTGATATCAATTTCTGCCTTTTCATTGGTGTGGTAAATCCATTTACTTTTAGAGTAATTACTGATAAGGCAGGATTTACATATACTATTTTGTTATTTGTTTTCTATATGCCATATTAATATTTTTTTAATAGACCATACTGGCTTCTTTTGTATTAAATAAATATTTTTTTACTGTCCCACTTTAAGTCCTTTGTTGCTTCTTTTTCTACATTTTTTAAAAATTACTTTCTTAATAATCTTAATTTATGTATAACTTTTTCTGGATTACCAAAACTTAATTTCACCAGTACACAGAAACTTTGCTCCTTTATAGCTTGATTTACTCTTCCTACCTTTTTCTTGTTACTGTCCCACAAATTACATCTTTATGCATTGTATACCCATTAACACATTTATAATTATTTCTTCATGCAGTTGTCTTTTAAATCAGATAGAAAGAAAAAGAACTACAAACAAAAAAAAATACATTTTTACTGTCTTGGATATTTACCTAAGTATTTACCTATACTGGTGTTTTTTATTTTTTCATGTAGATTCAAGTTACTGTCTAATGACCTTTTATTTCCATTGAAGGACTCCCTTTTGTGTTTCTTATAGAGGATATCTGCTATTAATGAATTCTTTCAGATTTTGATTGTCTGGGAATGTCTTAATTTCTCCTTCATTTTACTGGATATACAATTTTTAGTTGACAGTCTTTTTCTTATACAATCCCATTGTCTTTTGGTCTCCATAGTTTCAGTTAAAAATGAGCTGTTAATATCATTAGGTTCTATTGCATGTGAAAACTTGTGTCTCTCTTGCTGCTCTCAAGATTCTCTTTTTGCCTTTGCTTTTCAACAGTTTGATAATGACATATGTAGGTGTGGGCCTCTGAGTTTGTCCTATTTTGAGATTGTTGAACTTCTTGGATGTGTACATGAAAGTTTTTCATCAAATTTGGGAAGTTTTCAGCCATTGGTTTTTCAAATAATCTTCCTACTTTCTTCTCTCCTCTCCTGATATCTCATTGTGCATATTTTCATACTTTTTTTTTTCTTGGCAGCAGGGGAGCTTACTGATAAGGGGATCTTGATCCTTGACCTGGGTGTTTCAGGGATCAAATCTGATTGTGTCTCACAGGTCTCTGATACTCTGTTCATTTCCTTTCATCATCATTTTTTTTTTCTCTTCCTTAGACTGGATAATCGCAATTCATCTGTTTTCAATTCGACTGATGTTTTTCTTCTGCCTAGTCATATCTGCTGATGAGCCTCCCTAATGAATTTTTCATTTTAGTTATTGTACTGTGCAACTCAGTTTCTTTTGGTTCTTTTTTTATATTTTTTATGTTTATATTAATTCTTTCTTTGGTGAGGTGTATTGTTATTTTACTTTTGGTGTTTAGAAAGAGTATCATTTAGTTATTTAGCTATATTTAAAATAGATAAGACTTAAAGTCTTGTCTAATAAGTCCAGTGTTTCACCTTTCTCAGGGACAGTTTTAATTCACTGCTTTTTTTCTTGTGTAGGGACCATACTTTTGTGTTTCTCTGCATGTCTCTATTTTTTGTTTAAAACGGGACATTTAATATAATGCATCAGTTCTGGAAGTTAAATTCTTCTAGGGTTTCTTTATTTTTGTCCTTTGTTTAGTGACTTTTTCCAAACTAATTCTGTAAAGTCTTTATCTATGAAGTCACCTCTGTGTTAGCTTAATGATGATCTGATGATTGCATAGAGATTTCAGTAAATGCCTGGAAACTTTCTGTTCTTTGCAGAAGACCTCTGAGTGCATATTGGGACTTGTCTTCAACACTCACCCAGTCAGTTTACAACAAACTCTGCCTTAGCCTTTCATTTCCTGCTTGTGCTGAACCTCAGAGTCAACCAGAAGAGAGAGCTCAGGTTCTTCTCAGGTCTTTCCTGGGCATTGACATGATATTATGCGGCATTAAGTGTGGATGTGCCTTCTAGAGTCCCAGGAATATTTCAGGGTTTTCAAAAAAGTGTGGACATCTCCTTCCTCACTTTTCCTTTTAACCTCTTTGATTATCCTATTATTTGTCCAGGGAGTTTTTTTTCATCATTTCAGATAGCTGAAACCTTAAATAATTGCCTCTAATTATTTACTTCATGTACCCTCAGGAAAAAGGCTTTTTGCAATGGTTAAGGTCCAAATCAGGTTAAATAAAAATGGTTCACTGGAAATGGGGTTTTGAAAGAGCTCCCACCCTGTTCTTCCTCCTGTAGTGGCCTCCAGACTGCTGATAATTGTGGCTGTTGGTTTTCAAGGCTCCTGTACAGCTTTGGGGAGGGGGAGGGGGCCAATGCAGATAGGACAAGCTAAAACAGCACAAAGTTTATATGTTCTTATGGGATTCAGTCATTTTTTTAAAAATAAGTAATCTCTAGATCTCTGCAATCCAGGGTTCTAAAAGTGGTGATTCTGACAATTTTTGCCAATTTCTCTTTGCTTTTGTAGAAAGAATGTTTGGAGGTTCTTAATCCATCATTTTCACTGAAGTCACTCCTATATTTTTCTTTATACTATAGACATATAATTAAATGCTAGTTGAATTAATGAAAATTCTCTAAAAAACAGAGTACTTCTTTCTTTCCAGAAACTTCTCTAAATGTTATTGTACTTCTCCTGTTATATTATAGGACTATGATGATGGATATGGCACTGCTTATGATGAACAGAGTTATGATTCCTATGATAACAGCTATAGCACCCCAGCCCAAAGGTAAGAGTCAGTCCTTATTACAAGACCCACAGCAGACACTTGTGCCTTGCTACATTTATATACTCTGGGGAAAATATGGTAATCAGTTAGTGAGGATAATTTGGCTTGCCCTTTTTGTTTTTTGTTTGTTTTAATTGAAGAGGCACTCTCAGTCCTACCAACTACCATGTGTTACCCCACCCAAATTTACTTTTAAGTTAAAGCAATCAGGCTTGGGAAATATAAATTGAAATTTTATTTATTCTAAAAATTTGATTTAAATGTTCATTATATTCTGAAGAGGAATAATGTCCTCAAATTCTGTGACTATGCAGTCCTAAGGCCAAAAATTACATCAGAAATGGGTAAATATCTTGTACTGTCAGTGCCTGGAGAAGAAAGTGCCAAAAGTTTTATTTCCTATTATAGAACATTTCAGTTTCTTATCAGCAGTGCTCCTGTTTTCTAACTTCAAATTTCCACTTGTGAATAATGAGTTAATTCTGATTTGTTTTCTAAGGAAGTATTTACCCAGAAATAAATGAACGTTAGCAGAGACAAAACAGAACTAAATGGTTACCTCTTCCGATAATTTACGATGATGTTCATTGATATATGAAATCAGTGTTTATTATGTTCAAAATGTTTTCCTAAATACCTAGAAACCTTTTGCTTATGCTTAAAATTCTAACTAGAGAACAAAGATAGACATAAATAAAATGAAATATTGGCTTTAGAGTGATTATGAAGCATAAATAAATATGGACCATGTGGTTATTTTGATGAAGCATAAATTCACTTTTAATCTCATACTGTGCCAATCTAGGTTTGGACACATCGGTTCTCTTATTTGTTAACTGATACTGAGGTAAACAGGGATATAAAAAAAAATTATTTTTGCTCATGCCAAATTATTTTCTTGTATAACTTGTAAACTTAATAGACTTCAAACTTTGGCTCTCAACTGGTCTTTTTTAGTAGAAGCCTTGTATATCATGTTTGTATCCTTTGGTGTGGTGGGTAGAAGCACTCCTGATATCGAGCCTGGTAACAGGCACATAGTGAATGCTAGGCAAGACTTTACATACAGTATCTCCTTTAAGTATCCCAGCAACCCATGAGGTATGTGGCACTGTTCTCTATTTTTATAAATGAAGAAAAGGAACCCAAAATTAAATAATTTGCCAAAAATTGCATAGTAAGTGGAAAGATAAAAATATAAGTCAGATCTTCTAACTCAAAGATTTGTGCTCTTTATAATAAGTCCTTCTCAGATTTTGTTTGAAAACATAAATATCCACAAGTACTTCAGTTTTCAATCTAAATATCCTGGCAAAGCAGGTCTTCCACCCCCACAACATTTGCTAAGTATATACTTTACTTCTGGCTCTGTTTTTATAAGTTTCATAAGGCCTACAGTCTAGGTCATATGAACACATCACTTCTAACAACAATCCTATAAGGCAGATGCTATTACTGTAGAAGAGGAGACTGAATAAAAGAGATTGTGGTACTTGCTTGTGACTGCACAGCTGAGAAGAGGTATGTCAGACTGAAGGACAGCCAAGCACATGTTCTTAACCCTGGTATATTTCTAGAGTCTCACTGCACTTTTCTGTTAATTCTCTCCCATATTTGTTATAGTATGCAGTGTGTTGTCTTTCAAATGCAGGTGTATTTTATTGCTTGAACTTATGCACAGTTTAGTTATGTTTGCAATTTGATTCATTCCTTGGAGAAAAGAGAAGGATCTAATACTTACTGAGTATCTAACATGTTCCAGATACTGTGCTAGTGTTTTTTATATTTGATTTCAACTGATCTTCAAAGCCATCAGTCCAGCCCTATGTAGTAAAAATGATCACATCCAGTTAATTGATGTGGAAATCAAGATGTAGCTTTCTAATGAAGTGCATACGCAATACAAGATAATAGTCCAAATAAGCTTTTGTTTTTTGATATTTGGTATGAAGAACCAAATTTAAAGCATTTATCCTGTTAAGTGCTATGCTCTTTCAAAGAGAGTGATGTCATAGTATGACCCCAGGTGAACGAATAGAGAACAAGAAGTCCATATTTATTTAGAACCTACTTTAAATCAGGCATGGAATTTAATCTGTTACTTACGTCTCATTTAATCCAATATGACAACAGCAAGAGTTAATATACATGGTGAAACAGGCTCAGAGTGGTAAATAACTAATCCTGAATGTGAACCCAGACATATAAAGCCTGCAGTCTTTCCACTTAAAGTTATGATAATAATATGATTGATTACAAGCATTTATTCCTTTGGTCATTTATTTAATCAGTATTCATTGAATGTCCATTTTGTACTAAGCACTGTGCTTGATGCTTGGAATACAAAGATTAATTAAGATAGAGACACTATCCTAGCTTACTGGCTACAAGGAATATATATAAATATATATATTTATATATATAAATATATATATTTATATATATAAATGCAGTGTAATATCCTAATTATTATGAGAGCTCTCAGGAGAAACTTACTGTTTCCCCAAGAAGACAGTGCTAAATTCTTGTTGGGAATATTGGGGACATTTCCTTGAGAAAGGGAAGGATACATAGCAGTCACAAAGGCACAAGGCCATGAAACAAGTTTTTTGTGGCAGCTACACATGCTTTTGTAAGGCTACAGTGATGCGCACAGGAGGAGTTGGGAGAGAGAGATGGGGCCGGAGGAGGAGTGACCGCATGTTCTCTACTCAGGATGCTGAGACCTAATACTTCAGACAGTTGTAGGGAGCCATTGAAGGGTTACTTGCAAGTGAATGACGTGTTCAGACTTAAATCTAGAGAAGTTAATTAGATGACAGTGTAAAGGCCAAATCGGCAGATGGTGAGCCTAGAAGCAGAGACCAATTAAGAGGCTGGGTATGTTATAAATTATAAGACCTTTAAATACCAGGAAAGACTCACTAAAAGAAACATCTTGCATGACAGCCAGTCTACCTTCTTTGAAGTGATCTTTTCAATGCTACAACTTGTCTTACCTGAAGGAGTACAGAGAACTTTGTGAGAACTGCATACATGGGCAAATGCAAAGGCCATTGTTAGGTATTCTGAATGTTCATTTAATCCTCATAACTAACGTGTGAAATAAACATCTGTCCCTTTTAAAGCAGAAAACAGTGGTTCTCAAAAATTAGGTAACTTGCCTAAGATCATACAACTTACAAAGGAGGCAAACTTTGAACCTAGGTCTTCCTGACTGTAAGCATGTATCTTTTCCACAATGGCACTCTCAGACTACACTAAACCACTGCTTTGTTGTAAATTGAAATAAAGCATCTGTGGAGTGGGGTGAAGAAATGATTTTATGCATTATTTTAGTTTGCTAGGCTGCCATAAGAAAATACTATAGTCTGGAAAGCTAGAGGTTCAAGATCAAGGTGACAGCAGGTTTTGTTTCTTCTAAGGCCTTTCTCCTTGGCTTACAGTTGGCCACCTTCTTAGCCTGTCCTCATATGGTCTTTCTTCTGTGTGCGTACATCCCTGGTGTCTCTGTGTATCCAAACTTTCTCTTTTTTTAAGGATACCAATCAGATTGTATTAGAACCTACCATACACAGGCCTCATTTCAACTTAGATCACTTCTTTAAAGTTACTATCCTCAAATACAGCCACAATCTGGGGTCCTGGGGGTTAGAGCTTCAACATTTGGGTTTGAAATGGGTATACACAATTCAGTATTATAACATGGATTTAAGCACAATACTATATGTCTCAGAAGTAGGAACATAGTATAAACCAGTAAGAATAGCATATTTTCAAATCATCCCCACTACCAAATTTTAGGTATTAACGGGGAAATCATCATCACCATCATCTTCAGTTATTTAGTGTTTACTGTGTCCTTGGCACCATTCCATGGACTTTACACAAACTCTCTCTCCCCTCTCAGCATCCCCTGCAGTATTGCTAAGCTCACGTCATTCCCTTGCATGTGGGTTCAGAAAGGTTCTATTGCTTATCCAAACTCATAAGGCCAAGCAGTGGTACAAATCCCCAGAGCATTCTCTTCTGTACTTTGCTCCATTGCCTTTCAGCTGTCCTTTCATCATGATTTTGATTTCAGTTACTGGAACTAATTCCTGTTTGTATTTCTCATATACAGTATTCAAAAATCTAAAGCTTCATGATGCTTTTAAATCTGTTAGGAATTGTTTCACTCTGAACTAGAAGTTTTGCCATATGAGGCTTGTACTGCCTAAATCAAATATAGAATTATTTATGCTACATATTAAAGTTATAGGCTAAGACTAGTTAAATTAGACACTTAGCTTTTCGAATTTTACATTAGATGCTTTCAGCAAATAACATTCACTGCCACTGCTCTCAAGGAGCATACAGTCTTCAAATTCACCAGAAGATAATACTGTGTAACACTTGATGTCTGTCTAAAATTTCTTGATTGTGACACTTCAGATTCTATAAAATTAATTTCATACTTCAATAGTTCTCTCAAAATTTGAAAGTACATACTATGTTGTAGTTATAATTATGTATTACTACAGAATTGTTTACTTGGTCTCCTTTCAGAGTACAGTTATGATGTTAAAATTAATTCCACCTGTTTCTTTTTATTTTTTGTAAATGTGGTTCTCATTTTCTTTCTCTTAAACACTGCTGAGTTAAATGATCCTGGCTATGTCTGTCTCTGACTTCAGCATAGTGTACTAGTCCCCATATTAAGAGCATACTCACTCAGGAGTGTGCAGAAAGAGAATTAGAGAGCATCAGCTCATATTCATACTTTTTACATTTCTATTTTAATGTTTTGTACTTTAAGACACAACTTTAGTAACATTATTATACACATATTATACATAAGCACATTACAGTTACAAATTCAAAAACATTTTTCTTTCTGATGCAGATGTATTATCAAAAACATTTGGAGAAGGCTGTCTGGTTAACTCAGTTGGTTAGAGTGTAGTGCTCTGGGCAGCAAGGTCCAGGGTTTAATCCCTATACTGTCCAACTGCCAAAAA